AAGTGCAGGGTCTGGAATGGGGTTTGAGGCTCGGTTTGTTGTGGATCCATGTTTCTGTGTCCATATAAAACAGCTTGTTACTCCAGAGTGATTACTTGAGGGCACTCCCGGTCGGTCTGTGACACACCAGCAGTTTGTTATCAAATACAGCAGCTGCATGTATCAGCTCCAACAGTGCGTGTTGGAGGCCCTTGGCTGGAGGTCTCACTTTTCATGAGCCTGTCTGGTATGGGGAAGCTTTGGCAGCTCTGACCCTCTTCTGTGAGTCCTTGGGGGCAATACCTGCACACAGGAAAGCTGTTGGGTTTGGGGTGCCTGTGCTGCAGTCCCAGGGTCCCGCAGAGGTTCTGGCCAGGTCCCCCCAGTGCTGGTGATGGTAGCAGGGTGAATGCAGTGCTCTGATCATGTAGTATTGCTCTGATCAAACCCCTCTAAAGGTTGGGTCTTCTGATTTCTCGCTGTGTTCTTTGCACAGTAAATTCCCCAAAGCAGCAACAAGTCTCATCTCTATTATCTTTCCATAAGAGTATGACTTAAACATGAGAAATTCCTTTTGAATTCCTCTCCTACCATTTCAGTTCCACGTAGCCAAGATGCTGGTTTATATTTGCACGTGTCCCGCTTGGTGCTTGTGAACTTGGTGTCCATCCAGAGCAGGGTCATTTCCCTCTGCTCCTGCTGGGAGCTGTTGGAGCGAGTGCAGAGGAGGCCATGGAGATGCTGCGAGGGCTGGAGCAGCTCTGCTCTGGAGCCAGGCTGAGAGAGCTGGGCTGGGGCAGCCTGGAGAAGAGAAGGCTCCTGAAGGGGAGACCTGAGAGCAGCTCCAGTGCCTAAAGGGGCTGCAGGAAAGCTGGAGAGGGGCTTGGGACAAGGGCCTGTAGGGACAGGGGAATGGCTTGAACCTGCCCGAGGGGAGACTGAGCTGAGCTCTCAGGCAGAAGCTCTTCCCTGTGAGGGTGGAACGAGTTACAAACAGGTGAAGCCTCATTTACATGTCCTGGTTGGGCTCTGCAGCCAGTTGGCCTCAGTGAACACCAGGATTAAGTGACAAAACCCAGGTCCAGGAAGGCCTTCAGTCTGGTACTTTCCCATTGCTTTCAGAGGGAAGGCATCTCAAAACTTAGGCTTGACTATATTAATACATGTATATATTAATAACTATTATTCTGCTTTGAGCAGAATTGGGCCCAGGTGCTCTTTTGGTGTGTTGGGAGGGGACAGTGGCAGCAGAGCATCCCCTACCTGCTCTCATGGCATGCCAGGAAAGGCAGGAAGTGCTCAATGGAACCCACAAACCCTGTGTTCTTTTGAACTTCCTTTCTAGGAACTCCAGCTCAGCAGTGAGTTTTGCAGTGAGTAAATTCCTCAGGTTATCATAGAGTAGTTTGGAAGGGACCTTAAAGCTCCTCCAGCTCCAGCCCCTGCCACAGGCAGGGATCCCTTCCAGTGGAGCAGCTTGCTCCAAGCCCCTGTGTCCAACCTGGCCTTGAGCACTGCCAGGGTTAAATACCCCAAATGCCTGCTAACTCCTGTGAGGTTTCCAAGTGCTGTTTTAAAGGAACATGTGGTGCTGCAGAATGCAGCCTTCATGATCCATCAGATCTGTCATTGACTAGAAATGGAAGAAGCTCCTTGTCTGAGTCAGAGCGCTGCAGGGCTTACGTCAGAGGTGGGTAATGCACCATGGCCTTTGCCTTGAATTCCAGGGAGTTCTTACTTTGTGTTTTCCAAACAATACGACATGCATTCAACATACACCTCCTGTCTTCACTCAGGAGGAGAACCCTGATCCCGGTAGCCTGCCCTTTCCTAGCAATCAAACAGGATGTCTGAATATATGAAACCTTTGCAATCAGATTTATGACCTTTTCCAGACAAAGGTGTTTATGCTGCGTCAGTCACCTCCTGCTCTTGAGTCACTTGCGGACTGAATCACTAAATGTGCCTTCAAAATGTGTTTTTCATATTTGGGTGCTGCAGATATTAGTAATTCCTGGTGCATGCTCTGTGTACGTGCTGGGGGGTGTCTCAGCTCTGTGATGAGCAATAACTCAACTGTAGTGTGTTCGAGCTGGGTTACTGAGAGTTTGTGTCCTGATGTTGATGGAGAGGGTATTACAGACCCTTGTGCATCTCAGCTCTCCACCATGCTGTGCTGTGTCTCAGCTGCCCTGCACTGGCTCCTGGTTTGGATTTGTGACCTCCTGCCTTATGCATTGGGGTAAACAAGGGCTGGAAGAGGCTCATGGGGCTGAAGGGGGAGCTGCTTTCCTGAAGACAATCCTGGCTCCTTTCCTTCGTGCTGCTGTTGAGGCAGCACCGTGGAGCAGCAGGGGCATGGGTGCTGAGGGAGGATGAGTGCCGGTGTCTTTGGTTAAGACAGTGCCATAGTGGAAGCACTGCTCTGGTGGCTCTTTGAGCTTCGCATTAACTCCCTTCCGTGAAGGTGAGCAGTGACCCATGTGCAACTCGGTCCATAAGTGACCCCTCGAGAGGGAAACTGGAGGAGATGCAGGCTCCATGAGGGGCTCGTTGGGAGCTGGGGCAGTGGATGATGGCCATGGACCGAGGCCTGGCTGAGTGCCCCGGCTGTGGTGGAGGTGAAGCAGCCAGGGTTTACCAGCAGTGTGTGCACAGTCAGGGTGAGTCAGCTGCCCCGGGCAGCTGCTGTGCTCAATGCCCTCTGCTTTGCTGCAGCTTTACTCCTGGTAGCTGTGTGCAGAAACCCTGTGTGTAAGTAATGAGAGGAGTGGAAGGTGCCTGCTTTCAGATGCACTGTGCTCCTGAAATGGCTGGAGCTGCTCCTGCTGCAGGAGCTGGCACACACTGAAAGGCTCTACAAGTACAAAAGGCCTTTTGTGCTTTCATAGAACCATCATAGAATGGTTTGGGTTGGAAGGGAGCTTAAAGCTCATTCAGCTCCAACCCCTGCCACGGGCAGGGACCCTTTCCACTGGAGCAGCTTGCTCCAAGCCCCTGTGTCCAACCTTGCCAGGGATGGGGCAGCCACAGCTTCTCTGGGCACCCTGTGCCAGCGCCTCAGCACCCTCACTCACAGGGAAGAGCTTCTGCCTAAGAGCTCAGCTCAGTCTCTCTGAATTTATTTGCCCTGGAATCAGTCATTTGGAGCAGCATTTTAAACTGTTGCTGGGTGTTGTGCTTGTCTCCTCCTGGATTCAGAGTTACAGGGATGTGGACCAGTGAGCTGAGCAGGAGCTGTTACGTGGCCACTTGGATTCACAGACATCGGAGAGAGTCATTAGTATGTTCTTAATATTGGTTTCAGGAGGTAAGCTTATGAATTAATTCAATTTGCTTATGACTGTCCTCCTACCTGTGTGTGAGCAGGAGGTGTTACCTGCCACTCGGCAATTGCTCTCTGCCCAAGGCAGTTGCAGGGGAGGTCTCCCCATGTCCTGCTGTTCTGCAGCTATAGCTGCATCCCTGTGCTGCTCCCATGGCATCCCACCACCAAGCTCTGCTGGTGTCCTCTGTGCAGAGGGAGAGAAGAGTCCTGAGAACCCAGGCGCTGCTGAGCAATGCAGAAACAACAGCGCGGGGCCTGGGTGCAGAATAACGCTGATCCAGCTGGCAGGGCAGGCACCAGCACCGTGGGAGGTGTGAGAAACCTGAGGCACGCCAGGAAACGCTGCACGCAGCACATGGAAAGGTCAGGTGGAGCTCCATGGGACTTGGGTGCTGTAATGCAGGGAGTGATTTGTGCAGCACCATGGAGCCAGTTATTGCACTGGATCTGTGGAAACAAACAGCAGGGTTTGTGCATGGTCCTGCTAAACATTGTGTGCAAGGGCTGGCAGAGAAAGGCAGTTTTGCAGGCCAGGGCTGTTCTAAACCAGCTACTCATTGAACTTCTGGGTACCTGAACAGCTTCCTAGAGTCACAGAATCCCAGCCTGGTTTGGTTGGAAGGGACCTTAAAGCTCATTCAGTTCCAACCCCCTGCCATGGGGTTGGAACCACTAGACCAGGTTGCTCCAAGCCCCATCCAGCCTGGCCTAGAGCACTGCCAGGGATCATACGGCTGCACATGTATGATCCTGGTTCATTTCTTGCACTTTGAGTGTGGTCGGAAGCTTGTCTTCATCCTTGGTCCAACTCTCAGGGAAGCACGTGGCATCCTGGCTTGGCTCCTACCCTTGTGCTGCTTGGGGCTGTGCTCAGATCACGGCTGGACCAATGGAGAGCATCCTCTCTTCTCCCTGGTCACCATCCAAGCACTGCCCCTGCTTTGGGATCGATGCTTTGCATTCTTACCCCAAGAAGGAAAGTCCTGGAGCAGCTCAGGATTTTTTCCACCACCCCCCACGTATGTGCACACAGGAGCAGGCAGCAGCTGGAAGCACATTCTGAACTTGGCCTTCTTGTTTTCCTCTCACATGTTGTAAAGCTGCTGAAGACCTGAAACGCAGCCCAGATGAAGGAGATGGAGAGACTGAGCTGGCACGGCTGGTGTTGCTGTGCTTCTGCCCATCCTCCTCACTGCAACAGCTCAGTGCAGGGACAGGAACCAGCCATGAAACCTTCCTTTGTGAGGGGGGGAGAGGAGGGGATGCTCCTCACTCCCATCGCTCAGGCAGGCAGCAGCTCTCCTCCATCCCAGCCCTACGTGGGGCAACTGGCTCTTCCCATAGCAGGATCCATCCCACTGATGCAGACTGACCCTGTTGCATCCAGCCCTGTACAGGTGGCAGGAGGAGGGGTGGCTGTGCTCCAGCTTGGGAAAAACACAGTCTACAAACCCATATCACCCATTAGCACAGGAAAGAGCAGGGCAGAAAGATGCACAACACCTAATGCATTTCTCCTGGAGACTGTTTTGGCTCCAGAGCACCACTTGCTGAGCTGCTTCTCTGCTGCTGTGTGAGAGTCATGCAAAAGAAAAGCACTTTGCCTGCAGTGTGTCACTGCTGCCTCCGTGTAAAAGCAGTTGAACGTGTCCTGCTGCCTTCTGGCACAATAACTTGCTGTCTTTCACAACAGAACTTCACCACTTGCCTGAAAATGTCTGGCAAAACAGCTAGCACGACCAACAACATCGCTCAGGCCCGAAGGACTGTCCAGCAGCTAAGAATAGAAGCCTCCATAGAAAGAATAAAGGTGAGAGCACATTCTCCTTCACCCCTCCTTTTGTTCTGTTTTCCCCCTTCCATCTGTAGGGTGGTTAACAGTGTGTTTGTGTGTGTGCCCACAGTTCAGTGTTTCCCCCCGCCTCTCAAAACACATCTACATTTCAGCCCAGCAAACCTGAATAAATCTAAGCTCTGTCACTGCTTACAGCAGCATCCTCAGGGAGCTTGGTGCCCTGTAGACTTGGAAGAGAACCAAACCAAACTCCAAAGTGCAGCTCAGATGGGTGAAACAGAAGGCAGGGATGAGTTTCCAGTTTCATGCGTATTGTGGGATTTTGTTCCATCCTTTGGCTGGCTGACTATGACATCTGCAAGAGAGGGAAAGATGTAGGGATGCTAGAAAGATAAGAAGGTAGCAGTAACTGGGTTCCTTTAACATAAGGCAGAAAATAAACCACACTTTTTTCTAGCTGGCAGGGATGGGATATTTGCTGCATGAGTCTTTTCGCATCTTTTCATGTTTTGCCATGTTCCTTGCACTGCTGCCCAACCCTTTTTGAAGGTCAGCAAACCAAATATACAGACCCGTAGAGCAGCAGTGCCCTGCCTTGGTGGCTAGTCATAGAATCCCAGACTGGTTTGGGTTAGAAAGGACCCTAAAGCTCATTCAGCTCCAACCCCTGCCACAGGCAGGGACCCCTTCCACTGGAGCAGCTTGCTCCAAGCCCCTGTGTCCAACCTGGCCTTGAACACTGCCAGGGATGGGGCAGCCACAGCTTCTCTGGGCACCCTGTGCCAGCGCCTCAGCACCCTCACAGGGAAGAGCTTCTGCCTAAGAGCTCAGCTCAGTCTCCCCTCGGGCAGGTTCAAGCCATTCCCCTTGGCCTGTCCCTACAGGCCCTTGTCCCAAGCCCCTCTCCAGCTTTCCTGCAGCCCCTTTAGGCACTGGAGCTGCTCTCAGGTCTCCCCTTCAGGAGCCTTCTCTTCTCCAGGCTGCCCCAGCCCAGCTCTCTCAGCCTGGCTCCAGAGCAGAGCTGCTCCAGCCCTCGCAGCATCTCCATGGCCTCCTCTGCACTCGCTCCAACAGCTCCACGTCCCTCTTGTGCTGCTGCCCCAGAGCTGGATCAGGGCTGCAGGGGGGGTCTCCGCAGAGCACAGCAGAGGGGCAGGATCCCCTCCCTGAGCTGCTGCTCACGCTCTGGGGGTGCACCCAGCACACGGGGGGGGGGTTTGTCTGGGCTGCAAGCTCATGCTGCGAGGTCATCTGAGGACACTTGTGTTTACTGTCCCTGCTTTGTTCCTCGTTACAAACCTGCTGTATTATTTTGAACCTCCTCCTGTTTATTTTTAGTGTTCTGTAGAAGCCCTGTTGGGGCCAGGCAGCACTGCCTGGAGTCACACACTAACCCCAGAGAGCACTGGGGTCCATCCTTTCCTCCTCCTGCATGTAAAGCTGGAGCAAACCCAGGTCTCTTTGCAGGAAATGAGGCCCTGGAGAGGGTGTTGCTCTCCAGACACCTCTGCCATCCCACACAGAATCCCAGCCTGGTTTGCGTTGGAAGGGACCTTAAAGCTCACCCAGTCCCAACCTCTGCCACGGGCAGGAACACCTTCCACTAGGGCAGGTTGCTCCAAGCCCAGGCCAGCCTGGCCTTGACCACACACAGATCACACACAGGGACTTTGTACCCAGCAGCAGCACATGTGATCCTGTTACCATGGAAAGCACCAGTTTATGGGCTTTTTTCCCCCTGTGTTCTGCAGGTGTCAAAAGCATCAGCAGACCTAATGCTCTACTGTGAAGAACACGCCAAGAAAGATCCATTGCTAATGGGCATTCCAGCTTCTGAGAACCCCTTCAAGGACAAGAAAACGTGCATCTTGCTATAGGAGGGTGCCAGCAGCTCTGCTCCCTCCTGGGCAAAGCCAGCCACCGGCGGGCCTATAGGCAAATACTCTGTAAGGTACCGGCTGCTCACTGTGTAAGAGTAGCTGTTCTTTTACCATGTGTATAAATGATTTCTTAAGCTTTCTAAAGCATTCTGTTGCCTCTCTTTATTAGGAAGTGAGGTTTTAAACTGAATTAACTTCTTTCTTGGCCAAGGGAATGGGGTGTTGGGTGCAGTGGGGTGGGCAGGGTGAGGCAGGGCTCTCATCCTCTGCGGGAATGGGGTTCACCTCTCCAGTTACACAAACAAAACCAAAGTTGCCTGAGCTTTGCTACCAGAGCAGAGGCAAAGGTGTGGAAACCTGATTGAACATGATTGGGTCGGCACCTTTTTAAGATGATGTCTGTGCTGCCTGTGTTGGTAGCGTGTGTTTAAGCACAGACATATTTAGAAGTGCATTATCTAGCAAAAACTACCTTAAAAATGATTGTAGCAATGAGTGGTGAGCTCCAGGGAGCCATGCCTGCAGCCTTCCTCACGCTGGCTTCTCTTGACAGGGGTTTCTGAGTGTAAAACTTCAAGAATGGGAGATCTGCAGGTTTATTTGCCTGCTTTTTAAGTTGAAAATGCAGGATTTTCAGCTTTGATCCTGCTTCTCTACATACTCTTCTGTAGTTTAAAAACCCTGTCAAGAGAAGCAGAGGCTGCAAGGTTGTGCTGCTGAGCTGGAGGCATGGTTCTGGCTCACCACATCCCAGTTCCATTCTGTGCAGGGAGTCAGAACTTGACTCTTCTTTTTTAAACTCATTTTTTAAAGGGGGTGGGGGGGAAATGCCAAATTCTATCCAGATTGTGGTTCTGCAGCTAGAATGGGAGGGTCTTTCCATCGAGTAAGTGATTTTATATATACACATAATAAAACATTCTTTCTCTGTCTGTGTGTGTATATATATATATAAACTTTCATGGTATATTTATACAAACCTTGCATCTTAACAGCAGACTTGGAAGGGATTGAAGTTAATGCTGCCTTCAGCTGGCTACAGATGTCTTTCTCAGTAGCTGGTGGTTCAGAGGTTGGACGTGTGATCATGCCATAACTGCCTTTCTGTAATTACATTTGCAGGACTTATTAACCACTTGTAATTTACTGTCTTACATTGCGTATTTGTCCTTTCTATATTAAATTATATACACACCATTGAGAGAGATTGAGAAAGTCTCTGTTTGTTTAACAGGCCACTCGAACAAAGAGTTCAAAGATCAACTTACAAGGCTGACAGGAGCTTGGTTCTGATGATTCTGTGCTTCCATGCAGCTTAGTTTTATAAGTAGAGTATTCTTCTAGTGACAGTTTTAAAACAACAATGTAGATTTACACTGTTTTGGGGTGGTTTTACTGTTTGTGTCATTTTATAACACCTCTTGTTATAAATAGTGATTAACTCAGTGTGGGTGTGCCAGGCTGTCAAGAGAGCTCCAGCTGTGCTCAGGAGTGTGCAGGCAGGTACATGGGGAGGGTGAAGAGCCTCATGCTGTTGCCTCACTATTGTCCTTTCTCCAATCTATTGTCCCTGTAGGAATCTACCTTTTTATCCTGTTAAGCTCCCTGCCCCCCAAAGCTCACCTGTGGAGCTGCAGAGATGCTGCTGTGGCTGCCCTTAAAGCATGATCCAGCTGTGGAGCACTGGTTGATCCAGCTGTGGGGCACTGGTTGGAGATGCAGCTGTGGGGCCCAGGCAGCACTCTGAACTGAAGCATGGCCACCTCCTGTCACCCCATCGCACCATGCCCACAGTGCTGGTAACTCCACACTCCCTAATAAAGAGCTCCTGGCACGTTCCTCGGGCTCACTCCCTCTTTCCCTCCTATAAACTCATTATGTTTGCCAAGCCAGCGCTGAGTGTGCCCTGGCTGGGGCTGTGGCTCCATCCCAGCCCCACAGCTGAGTTTCAGTGTGTTTTTCAACCTTTTTCCATGTCGTTTGACATCCTTGCAGCGTGATTTGTGCCAGCAGCTATTTCACGCTTGCTCACACACCCAGAGAACAAAAGGAGTGATTGTAAATGGCTGTGGTCGCATCGGTGATCAGAGGAGCAGGATAAAACCACTGCGCCAGGCTCTCTTTTCCAGGGGCTTTCTCAGTTTTAGGCGGAAGACTTGGAATCAGCAGCTCATCACCACCAGCTGCCTGCTCCTGATGGTGTTTAATGTATAGATGGTCGCTAAACTCCTTATTTTTTAGATGCAGTGTACAGGGGTTCACGTGGCTACATTTGCACTTTGTTTTTTTGCTATAAATACTCCTATGAAAGAACAGGAATGGTAAAATTCTGAGGAAATACAGACTCTGCCGTAGTAAAATGAAAAGGAGAAGTGAGACCATCTGCACCCGCAGCTGCTGGGAGAAGCCCATGGAGGTGGCATGCTCTTTATCTCTCTTTTATATCAAGCTCCAGAAGGGGTATTTATTCTATTCCCCCCCCATAAATTAAGCAGCCAGCTTGTTATTTGTGATGATTTGCTCTTTATGTTCTAATTTGACTCTTTCATGCTGTGTTCCATTAACAGAAGAGCTGGTTGGTGGCTTGGAGACCTGACTCTTGCTAAAAGAACCCCTTGCTAAAATATTTCTGCTTTCCCTATGCTCCAAGATTATCATCTTCATTTCGTTGTTCTGGAGCTGGTGAGCTGCAAAGGTTGGACTCTGCTGCTGCACTGGTGCATTGCTGGGTGTTCCTGCATGGGAAGGGTGGTGGTGGGGTTGGGATGGGGATAGGGCCTGGTGCAGGTGCAACTAGTACCTCCTGCTCCTAATCTGCTGGGAGTCCCTGAAAGAGCCTGGTTGTCCCCATGGTGACAGCAGGAGGGCAGCCCTGAGGTGGGATGATGGTCAGGGTGTGCCCACCAAGAACCTCAAGTGTGCTTGGAGATTGTGTTTAGATCTTGGGTGAGAGCTGATCATGGGGCTGGAAGGTGGAAAAAGGAGATTGCAAAAGATCTGCTCCCAGTTTGCTGGGCATTGGGATGGGTTTATTTGGATGAGCGCTGCAGCAGGGGTGAGAGCTGCAGGACACCAGCCCTGGAGCAGCCACAGGGGCTGGGTGCTCAAGGCCAGGTTGGACACAGGGGCTTGGAGCAAGCTGCTCCAGTGGAAGGGGTCCCTGCCCATGGGTTGGAACTTTAAGCTCCCTTCCAACCCAAACCAGTCTGGGATTATGGGATGCTGAGGGTGAGCGCTGCCTCTTTGCAGCCCCAGCACCGGGCAGAGCTGGCTGTGGGGTACCTCAGCGTCTGAAGCTAAAAATGTTTAGAAAACGCCTTTTGGTGCAGCTCCTGGGCCAGAACCTGACCTGATCTCTGTGCTTTAAACACTCGGATCTTTCCCTGGGTGCAGGTCACGGAGGGCAGCGAGGGTGCCTCCTTCCCAGGGTGTCCATATGCTGATGGTGATGCTGCTCCTGCGCCATCCCATGGCCCTAGGGGCTGGGGACGGGGCCTGCCCGGTCCTGAGCTACGTGCTGGACCCGGCTCGAGGCTGACGTGTCCCTGCAGCCCCGCGCCGGACGGGGCCGGAGCACGCCGTGGGAGCGGGAGAACTGGTCCAGCAGCGGCCGGGGGCAGCGGCGCTGGGGCCGGCGTGCCCAGGGCTGCAGGCAGGGAGCCGCGGGGCAGCGCACACATGCAATTAGGGGAGCCCTGATGTAGGTCAGCGGCGTCCCTGGGGCTGCGCAGGCACAAGGAGGCTGTTCCCCAGCTCTGTTTGTTAAGGCTGGGAGAGAGATTCCCGCCCCATGGAGTGCAGCGGAGTGCGTGCCAAGAGTATGTGTGCAGTTAAACCGGAGCTTGGCACAGAAACCTCCTAACCCTGGAGGGGTCTGGTTCCCCCTGGGGGGGGCACAGGGAATACATCCAGCAGGCTGTGGACACCTTCCTGGGAAGGGAAACACTGGGTCGAGTTTTCCTCGTCCGAGGAATCAGGTTTCCCCACTTCCCAGGAAGGGTCAGGCCCTGCGGAGCCTCCAAAATAACTCCTCCTCCTCTTGTTGTTCTTGTTCAAACTGTGCTGTGAAGTGGCGGCACTGGAGAAAAAGAAACACAATTCCCAGCATTTCCTGCTGCACATCAGCTGCTTTCCCTTTAATGGCTTGGGAGGGGCTAGGAATAAACCCACACAGGAGCAGCACGGCAGGACCTTGCCCAGGGCCAGGACAAGGAAGAAGCTGCTAAATGAACCCTTTTGACTCTACACTAATGAACAGGGCGAAGAAAGCAAACCCCAGGACGCAGGGCTGGAGTTTAAACTTTTATTTCCAAAAGAAGCCAAAGCCAAAAACCCAAAACTCCCCTAAATCCTATCAAATTTCAAACAATTACATTAATGTAGCTGCTTCCAACAGCCAACTGTTGAAGAGTGGGTGCAGATGAACTGCTTAAGGGCATCCTGGTTCTCAAACCTCCTGGTATAAATAATTTTTCCATCAATAATAGCATAAAATAACTTATTATATCTTAGCATAAAAACTTAAGAATTAACACCCCAAACAATACATTAAAAGGGGTTGTAAAATGCTTTGCGTAATCTTACGGGGTTTCTTTTGCTCTTTAAGGTATTTAATCCAGAAGCTGTAAGTTGCACTTAAAATAGGTGGAGGCTGTCGGGCGTTTTCCATGAGGAATCTGGCCGCGCAGCACCCCCGGGGCTCACTCCTCCGGCCACGCAGGCGCTTCTCATCCCTTCACTTCCACGCTCCTCCGCGTCGCTTGGCAGCCCCACACAAGGCGCAGCTCAGCTCCAACCCCCCCCACCCCCCCCACGATATCAAGTTTTATCTGGGTATTTTTTAGTTGTTTTCTGCTTTTCCCCCCCTGCCCTCCCTCCTGGGTGATCCTCGTGCCAGGGCAGGGAGTAACTTCCTGAGCAACTGCTTGTAAAGTGATTGCGAAACTCGAGTGCAGTCGGGTTCAGCCGAGCGCTACGGTCACCGCTCGGGGAGGTTAATCACAGGCACCCACTGATCCATGTACCGGCTCTCCCGGCAGAAGCACATCAGCTGACTCAGCGCTGGATCCTTCCACTGTGAGGCGTGGGGGTTCTGGAAAGAGAAACGGGGGGGATGCTTTAATACGGGAGCAAAACCAACCCCTATAGAGAGGGATTAAAAAGCAGAGCAGGAAACGCAGGAGCATGAATCATCTTAAACTGGCACTAAAGCAAACCAACCAGTCGCCTCCAGAATGATGAGTGGAGTTCTGCAGCTTTGCAGGGTAAAGGAGGAAAAGGGGTGAAAAGGGGGAAAATAGACTCATAGAATGATAAAAGTTAGCAAATAGACACATAGCATTTAAAAAGGGAAATCATGGAATCTTAAAACAGACTGGGTCGGGAGGGACCTTAAAGCTCATCCAGCCCATGGGCAGGGACACCTTCCACTAGACAGCTTGCCCAAGGAGTTTCTTATGGATCCTATTCCAGACAGAGGTCTGGGAGCTTAGCAGGCACCTCTGTGCCCAAAATCACCATCAGTTCCGGCTTTATGGAATGACATTTTAGAACTGCATTCAATTCCAGGCTTTGCAAGGCACCTCCATCAACACCCACTGGAAAGACGGGTTATGCCTCATGGCCAAGCCGGATGCCTCATGGCATGGACAGGCGGTGAATGCCGCCTGTCCATGCCATGAGGCATCCGGCTTGGGCATGCCATGGGGCATGACCATGACACACGGGCTGCCCCCAGCAACCAGGATCCATCCGGACTCACCGTGACGAGGACGCAATGAAGGTCGGCGGGTGGCCCGGGGCCAGCGGCGGGCAGCAGGAGCTGAGCCAACCGTGCCGGGTTGTTGACACGGAGGATGTTGATGTCGTTCTCGCAGCAGAAAGCCTGGATCAACGTGAAGTGGATCTGCAGCGCCGCATCTCCCTCCTCTTCCTCATCGGCCGCAAGTAAGCACAGCACCACGTTATCCGGATCCCTGAAGGGATGCACAATGTCACCGGGAAGGGTGGCGGGACACCGGGGTAAGGGGTTGAGCCACCGGGGTTTCACTCACACATTAAGCAACTTGGCTGCCTCATAGACACCAAGGGTGAGGCTCCGCTGGCTCAGCGCCTTGCTCAGCACCTCCTCCAGCGCGTCCCCCGCCTGCTCCATCCTGCCACCGGGACAAGCACAGACAGGCAGCCACCGGTTACCGGGGGGGTTGACACCAACAGCACCCCCTTCCCTTCCCGCATACCCTGCCCATACCTTACCTCCCGGCGGTGCGGTGGTCCCCGGCCAGCTCCTCCAGGGTCATAGTTCCGTTGCGGGCCGTTCCCGGTGCTGGGACCGCTCCCGGTAGCGCCCCGTCCGCTGCGCGCCGCGCCACCGCCTCTGCAGCACAAAGGCGCCCCGCAGGCGTTATCCGACCCGCGTCCAGCCAATCCGCGCTGGCTGTATTTGCATAGCGCCCTTCTATTGGTTTATGCAAAGGAGATCACTCCCACTTCTCGCTGACTTCGTGCCTTAGAGCCGCCGGCCACGGGAACCGGCGGGGCGGTGGCTGCTGATTGGCTGCTGGAGGAGTGGGGGCGTGGCCTGTGGAGGCGATGACGAGGGAGCGGGAGGCGCCGGTTCCCGTCAGGAAGCTCCCGCAGATCCCGGGAGCCGGGACTGGGAAACGGGCGCGTTCGTTCCCCTGCACCGTAAGAACGGCGAACGCTGGGGGCCGGCTCCCGTTCTGGCAGCGCGCGGCCGTTTGGCGCGCCTCAGCTTTGCTCCTCCGTGCGCCCGCACCCAGCCCGAGGCTCCTGTGCGGGTCGAGGTCTGCCAAGGGGCGCTGCTGCCTGTGTCCGGTACCACCGGGATACCCCCGGGATAACGGTCCTGGAGAGCTTACCCCCTCCATGAGCATCCATCCAGCCCAGCCGGCCTCACCCCACCTCACCCCACCGGGGCCAGTCTGCGCCTGCACCGGGTGCTCCCGCTTGCTGCGCCCCAAGGACACGAGTTCCCTCTGCCCCCCGTTGGGATGGAGCTGCCTCCCGCACGCACAGAGCTCGTGCTCCCCGCCAGGAACCGCGTTCCTGTGCCCGCCCCGCTGCGAGCCCCGCTGCGGCAGGAGGCAGGCACTGCCCCGGTGCCATGGGCGCTGCCTGGGCACACGGTGACGAGCGCCAGCGCGGCCGTGGCGGTGCCAGGAGGCAGCGGGGAGGTGGGAGGGATGCACCGGTCCTGAGCTGCACAACGGGACTGAACCCACAGCCCTGGAGAGCGTCGTGTGGGGATACCGGTACCGGGGCTGCAGCCACCCGTGTGCTGCCTGCCACTGGAGCAGCTTGCTCCAAGCCCCTGTGTCCAACCTGGCCTTGAGCACTGCCAGGGATGGGGCAGCCACAGCTTCTCTGGGCACCCTGTGCCAGCGCCTCAGCACCCTCACAGGGAAGAGCTTCTGCCTAAGAGCTCAGCTCAGTCTCCCCTCGGGCAGTGTAAAGGCGCTAACCAGAACGGCCTATCCCAAACCTTGCCTTGGAGGACACCACCACCGCCTCTTGCATGGCTCAGGACACCGGTGTTTGCCCCAGAGGAGGGAAATAAGGCACCGGGGTGTTAGAATATATGTTCTGTGTGTAGTGAGCAGTGTAGTTTCACTGCCAGCCTTGCTGGCTGGGAGAGGTAAGTCAGCCTGTCGATAACCCCAGACTTCAGAGGCAACTTCTGCATCTCTGGCCTCCAGCCTGCACGTTGGCTGGAGCCGGCACAGTGGATGCTTGCTGCTCAGTTGTGTTTGGTGCAGGTGATGCTGCAGGTACCCACATCCCTGACCCACACTGGGGGGTGCAGGATGCAGTGCTGCAGTGAGTGACCAGCACTGTGAGCACTCAGGAAGGGCAAGCAGCAGCTCTGTAGCACCGTGATGTGTTGGACAGCCACAGCTCTGTGTGCGTCCTCCTGCTCCCAGGAGGGATGTGTTCCCTCTCACCGGTTTGTCTTCTGCCAGGACACAGTATAATTTCCTGGTGAGTCACAGGCACTGCACAGACACCCTTCCTGAAGCTGGAAGAGTCTGCAGTTACAGAAGTTATCCCCATTTACTGCACTGGGAAGAGGGACGTGGAGCGGTTGGAGCGAGTGCAGAGGAGGCCATGGAGATGCTGCGAGGGCTGGAGCAGCTCTGCTCTGGAGCCAGGCTGAGAGAGCTGGGCTGGGGCAGCCTGGAGAAGAGAAGGCTCCTGAAGGGGAGACCTGAGAGCAGCTCCAGTGCCTAAAGGGGCTGCAGGAAAGCTGGAGAGGGGCTTGGGACAAGGGCCAGTAGGGACAGGCCAAGGGGAATGGCTTGAACCTGCCCGAGGGGAGACTGAGCTGAGCTCTTAGGCAGAAGCTCTTCCCTGTGAGGGTGCTGAGGTGCCTGACGGTGCCTCCCCCTGCAAATACCCTCACAGGGGACTCTCTTTGACTTCTGCTGTGGGGAAGCAAAGCTCCACGTCCCATAGAGCCATGAGGCCGCTCTGCAGCTGGTGCTGAGCTTGCTCCTCCGATGCTGACTCAGCTGAATGTGGGTGTTTGACCTGCTGCGCCCCAGCCCCCCCAGCAGCCCCCCCACAGGGTTTCCATGAGCTGGGTCCAACCCAGAGCCGGCTTTCCCTGCCATCTGCCCTGTGTCCAGCTGGAGCCTCCGGGGAGGGCTGCTCCCCATGGAGCTGAGTCAAAGATCGCGTTGTCTCAGCTGTTGCACCTAAGAGCCTCCATCCTCCTGTGCTGAGAGCCAAGGCGCTTGCCCAACCCGGGCTGGCGCGGGCCCACCGGTCCCGGACTCTGCAGTGGGACCCCGGTGCTCCCTCAGGCAGCTTTGGGCTTTGAGGGTTTGCTTGTGGTGGCGTTTTCCTTCTCCTCACCCGCAGCAGCAGCTGCTTCCCAAGGCGATTTGTGCTGGGCACGGTGCTGCTGGGCACGGTGCTGCTGGGCACGGTGCTGTGAGTGCTGGGCACGGTGTTGTGAGTGCTGGGCACGGTGCTGGGCACGGTGCTGTGAGTGCTGGGGTGCTGCTGGGCACGGTGTGTGAGTGCTGGGGGTGGTGGGGGTGTGTGGGGGTGTGTGGGTGGGGGTGCTGTGAGTGCTGGGCACGTGCTGTGAGTGCTGGGCACGGTGCTGCTGGGCACGGTGTTGTGAGTGCTGGTGGTGGTGGTGGGTGTGTGGTGCTGGGCACGGTGCTGCTGGGCACGGTGCTGTGAGTGCTGGGCACGGTGCTGTGAGTGCTGGGCACGGTGCTGTGAGTGCTGGGCACGGTGCTGTGAGTGCTGGGCACGGTGCTGCTGGGCACGGTGCTGTGAGTGCTGGGCACGGTGCTGCTGGGCATGGTGCTATGCGTGCTGGTGAGTGCACTTGAGCTGTGCAGGGCCGCAGAATCACTGCAGGAGCCCCCTGGAAAACAGCAGTGGATGGGAAACCTGTTTATGCAGCAGCACGTAGGGAGGGCTGAAGGGAATACAGAGCCTGAACTTCAACAGCGGAACTTCGGGTTAGATGAAAGGCAGAAGCTCTTCCCTGTGAGGGTGCTGAGGCGCTGGCACAGGGTGCCCAGAGAAGCTGTGGCTGCCCCATCCCTGGCAGTGCTCAAGGCCAGGTTGGACACAGGGGCTTGGAGCAAGCTGCTCCAGTGGAAGGGGTCCCTGCCTGTGGCAGGGGTTGGAGCTGGAGGAGCTTTGAGGTCCCTTCCACCCAACCCATTCCATGTTCCTGTGGCTGAAGCAGCCCCTCGGTTGTGTTGTCTCTGGCGAAGAAGCCCCCCGAGTTTCCATACGCTCATCCCCCGGTGCCCCTCGCCCCGCTGCTGCAGGCTGATGAGCTCTGACACGAGGAAGCGTCCGGAGGAGGGGCAGAGGCCCCCTCGGAGCAGGTGGAGGTGGCAGATGGCAGCACGGCAGCGAGCAGGTGGGGCTTTGTGCGCTCCCCCCCAGTTAAGCTCGCTTAATTTGCTCCATCTCTGTTAGCAGCTCCAGTCTGGCCTCCCCGCCAGGGCTCAGATTGTCTCTCGCGGGCGGCCAGGCCACCAGGCCCCATCTGTGCCCGGCTGCAGGGCTAAACCTGGCTCGAAGGCAACCGAAGAGCAGCTGAAGCCTCTTTTCTCTCGGCTCGGCAGCGGCAGCTCCTGCCCTGCGCTGGGAACCGCAGCAGGCGATGCTCTAAACCCGCGCTGTCCTGCAGGGCTCCCGGCTGCCCTCCCGTGCCCTGGGAAGCAGCGAGGATGCTGCGGGGACGCGCGGGTCCCTCCTGCTCTGAGTGGGGCTGCGCTGGGGATGCACCGTGGCTGCAGCGCTGTGCGGCCTCACTGGGAGCCGCAGTTGTTCCCCCACCAGCTCTCGGCTGGCAGCTGCCTCCGAGCCTCCCTTTCATCGCCTGCCAAGAAGCATCCAGGCCGTTTTGTTCCCCCCTGCTTGCCCTTTAATCCCGACTTTCATAACTCACCAGCCTGCAATCCCCCCCTCACCCAGCAGCGCTCACACAGGGGCCCTGCGCTGGGCTCAGCCGTGGGGACTCCGCTCTTCCCCCGTGCTGGCAAACCCTGAGCTCCAAACGTTGCCTGGGGCCATAGGGCTCAAGGCAGCTTGGGGAGCACTGGGATAACGCACGGGAGATGCCGCTGGAGCCCTGCCTGGGGTTCACGGGAGCCGCTCCCGCAGGGGATGCTCTCGGGCAGCCAGAGACGCTGCCTGCACGTAAGAGCCCCGCGTTGTTCGGTTTCAGTTGCTGGGAATGAGCCCAAACCTCAGAGGGTGTCAGTGAGGGGAGACGAGCCCCGGCCCTGCCAAAGGGGCCGGCAGCCGGCCAGGAGCCTTCCTGGGGGGCTGCCCATGGGGTGGTCCTGGCACCGCGGCTGCTCCTGCTCCAGCAGCTCTGTTCCCACTTGGCTCCGGGCTGTCCCTGTGCTCCTGGGGCCCCGTTCCAGGGATCCAGCCCCTCAGCGCCCTGCCCTGTGTGGGACCTTTCCCCAGCTCCACTGACCCCTTCCATTGCTGCATAGAACCACAGGATCCCAGCCTGGTTTGGGTTGAAGGGAGCTTAAATCTCCTCCAGCCCCAACCCCTGCCACAGGCAGGGACCCCTTCCACTGGAGCAGCTTGCTCCAAGCCCCTGTGTCCAACCTGGCCTTGAGCACTGCCAGGGATGGGGCAGCCACAGCTTCTCTGGGCACCCTGTGCCAGCGCCTCAGCACCCTCACAAGGAAGAGCTTTTCCCTAATATCCCATCTAAACCTCCCCGGGTCTGTGCCTCTCTCAGCACTGCAGGAGCGCACTGCCTGCCCCCCGAGCAGCACAGGGCCCTGCTCACGTGCTGGGGCCCTGCATTCCGGGCTGGTGTTTTCCCTCCCTTTGAATCTCCTG